ATCTACATATATATATATATATATATATATATATATGTGTACACTCTTTTTTTGATTCAACATTCAACGATAGCAACATTATCCACTTCATTTCTTACTCTTTCGGGATTTTCTTAGTGACATTCATGAAGATACACTCATACCTGGGATTAGCATCTTCATTCTTTTCCTCTAGTAGAACTACTTGCCGTTTCAAAATAGTATGGGGAAACTTCTAGAGCTGTTGGATGGCATTCAGAGGAGGTAAAGAAGGGGATAGGGAAGGTAGTTCTTGGATGTGTGTTGCTTTGTATATGTATCGCCAGCAGGCAGAAAAGTTTACAAAATTGGGGGCGGTCGAATCTCCAAACAGACCTCCATAACTTTGCATGGATAATAGAGATCGACTGGTTGCGGCAATTTCATCCCTCCAATCACCTCCCTATTTTACATTTGTACGGTAGGGTGCTACTTATAGGAGATTGAAAATGAAAGTGAAAGGGGTCAATTCACTTTACATTCTCCTAAAACTGATAATGAATTTGCGAGGTGTGGACAGGGTGCAGGAGAAGAATGGGAGAGGGAGGATGGAGTTTGATGCGGAGAGAGATGAGATGGGATAAATGACGAACTGGATGTAGGAAAAGTGAATCTTGCAGGAAAAGGGGGCAGGGACCCGTTCCCAACAGGTACCACCGATATTCCTCCGGGCATTCTCACCGTGATCCATTCATTGTTCGAAATGATAGCCATCAATGCAGCGCATACTGCATTCGCTGCATGCATTCCAGTAACGCTGCATCACACCACTGTAAAATGCACCTTCCCTAATATAATGCATTTATGGTGAAATACCCTCACAGGTCAAATTTGATGGAAAGTATCGAATAATTGACCGCGGACATACCACCCTCATATTTCCAACTTTTTCATATAATTTGGGCTATAATTCATGCCACATGTCTCGAAACAGTCTACCGTAATTGCGTGACGTGTTTGACATGGTCACTTCTGAAATGTGTTGGAATTTATTTCGGGTTGTGGGTATAGTTAGTTTGGTTAATTTCTTGACCGCTGTACGGTTCCTAGAGAGAACATCCAAACAGTGTTCTGCGGCACTTGTAGTTGCTTGCCACACAAAACATTCACTTATATTTACTAACAGGTTCATACCGAGGCTGGATATTACGTGATTGATTAATCTTCGGGTCGTGCTGATATAACTGTATGGATGCAAGCATAAGAGCTAGTGTTTGAACTGATTCCTCATATTCATTATATATGACACGGAATTCAATAAACTAGAATTACTGGCTGAACTCCTTCTAGTGATTCTTACCATCAGACACTTTTATACATAATATAAATCTAAATGGATACCGATTTCCGATAGGGAAGCACTGGCAGTTAACGTACGACTTTTATTTTAGGGAATTCGAAGAAGTAACATCTGGCTATATTTCATTTTGCCTTTTACGAATAATTCTCCATAGTAAGACTGGTGACTCTAAGATTCCGTTACTGGCTTATTATAACTGGCCACTTCCTCACTTAGCTAATTTTTTTTCCTAACAATCTAGTAATGCTCGCCAAATGTTTAAATTCGTGCCCATTATTTACTGACTTTGAAGTAGATACGACTATGTGAACTTGAAAGATCAATGGAAGTGTTGCAGGATGAAAGCAGTGATACTTGTTGGTGGGTATGGCACAAGGTTACGACCGTTGACGCTTACTCAACCAAAACCACTCGTGGAATTTGCCAATAAGCCGATGATGCTCCATCAGGTGAGAGTAAATCTCTCATTTTTTATTCTGTTCATCAAAATGTTCATCAAAAAAAATTTGTAACAAAATTTGTGTTCATCAAAATTTGTAACTTTTTTATTTATACATGCCTGTACTCTGAATAGCGGATCAGTTCCAGCCGAATTTAGCAAGTTAGATAGATCCGAAAATCGGCGTAAAGAGCTTTGTTCTTTCTAACAAAAAATTAGTTATGATAGGTTCTACATTTGGTGCAACCTTAAGATCGAGTTGAATTAGCAGGATGGCTTAATGCAGTGCTCGTGAGGTCGGACTACTTTTTGTAGTTTGTAATACAAAATCTGACTTATATGAAATTTGATTCTATTTTCTTTAGCAAATAGCTGTTAGTGATGCAGCTGACCGTAGAAAGGCCGGCAATGAGGAATAGTAAGCCTGTTAGGTTTCGTTAGATTAGTGAAAGCATGGGTGAAGGAATTGTCCAGGTCGTGTCTTAACTTCAATCTAATTTACTATCATAATTTATAGATGGAAGCACTTGTGGCTGCCAGTGTCGATACTGTGATATTGGCTGTAAGCTATCGTGCAGAACTTTTGGAACAACAAATGAAACAACATGCTGAACAACTTGGTATGCCAGTAATTTTTTCAATTTGAATGTGTTTCAACGACATAATTTTTACTTTTGAATCGTAAAATTGTGGAGTGCAGCATATTAGTACTGCAAAAAAGTAGAATTATTATCTTTTTTCGCATGTTATTATATTCAAAAAAAAAAGATTCTATAAGTTGTAATAAGGTTTTTTTTTTTAATCAAGATAGAGAGGATTTGCTTCAGAATTTGCTCAGTGCATTATCTGAAAAAAAACTTTACGTTTAGTTAAAATCTTTTCGGAGGTTGAAGGCGGTGAACGACTTAGTGATTAAAAAATATGGAAGGAAAAGTAACATAATTGTAGGTAAGCTTACTTTTATTTATGTAGCACAGTTTTAAGTTGAAGCTTTTTTTATGAATGGTCCATTTACTATATTTCTTTAGGTATTGAGGTATATTTCTCATTGGAAGAAGAGTCCTTGGGTACAGCGGGACCGCTGGCTTTGATAAAAGATCGGTTAAAAGGAAATGAACCTTTTTTTGTACTGAATTCTGACATTATATGTGAATTTCCATTTCGTGAGATGATTGACTTTCATATGAGTCACGGTCGTGAGGGGACCATCGCTGTAACTAAGGTATCTTTTGACTTAAGTATTCTAGTAATATAAAAACATTTAAAGGGAAAAAACTTTCACGACTTCTTAATGAGTGTTGATTTTCGTTTTGTTTTTCGTATTGAGGAGTGTTTGTGTGTTTTTAGGTTGAAGAACCAAGCAAATATGGTGTCTGTGTGTTTAATGAAAAGACTGGAAAAATCGATAGTTTTGTTGAGAAACCCGAAGAATACGTTGGAAATAAGGTTTCATTTTCTTATATCATACATTTTTTGAAACTGATTCATTCTCTCCTTGTGAAAATACTGGATCCAAAAAATAGCTTTAGATCAATGCCGGATTATACATTCTTTCTCCATCCGTACTGGATCGAATATCATTACGCCCAACTTCGATTGAAAAGGAAGTTTTTCCGGAGATGGCTAAACATGGAGAATTGTATGCATTTGAGTTGTCGGGATTCTGGATGGATGTGGGACAGCCAAAAGATTTCTTGACTGGTCAGGATTTCTTTGGCAGTTCAGTTTCGGCTTAAGATCGTACTGTTGACATATTTGACATCTATCATTTCATACCACAGCATAGTTAGCTATGCGGTGTTCACTTTTCTTTTTGAGTTCGAGAATCTCTTCATCCTTTTCATAACATTGGTACTTTTTACCTGCTTTTATTTCTTCCTTGATATTGATAGGTTTCCAGCTAATTTTACTTTCCAAACTGTTTGACTTTTCTTATTGCTCTAGGTATGCGTTTGTACTTGAAATACCTTCGCGACAAGTCACCATCTCTGCTAGCTCATGGTAGCCATATAAATGGCAATGTGATTGTGGATAAGACTGCAGTTATCGGTCGTGATTGCAGAATAGGTTTGCTTTAAAAATTATTTCAATTATAGTAAGATTTTTTGATGTTGCTTTACTTTCCAGTAGAAATTGGTTAAATAACTTCTCCCATTCCAGTCATCAGTCAGTTTATAAATAAATTTATAACGCGTGGATTTCCGAGTTATTTCATTTTACTGAATGAAGTTGATTTAGCAACATTGTTCACACGTATTCTCTTTAGGACCCAATGTTGTGATAGGACCGCGAGTAAAGATTGGAAACGGCGTTTGTTTGCGTCACTGTACCATTTTATCAGATAGCATGGTGCGCACTCATTCTTGGATTAACAGCAGTATTATTGGCAGAAAAGTAATCCTTTGGTGCTTTGCTGAAAAGAAGTGAAGTGCGAGAATTGTTATTTTGTCTAACATGAGTTATGAAAGTTATGGACGCGTTGGTAATTTTGTAGTGTTCAATCGGTGAGTGGGTACGAATTGAAAATACCTGCGTTATTGGCGATGACGTTGTCGTCAATGATGAACTATACCTGAATGGTGCAAGAGTGTTACCGCACAAAGCAATAACGATGAACGTTCCAGAGCCAGATATCATTATGTAGCCAACGAATCTGGGTATAATATTTAGGCATTTTAGGTGAGAATTTACATTTCGTGCATTATATTTAGATTTCAAGTCTCAACTTTAGTATTTACTTGATTCATAAATTGTCACAATTTATTGAATTATTATCATACAGAAAAAATTCATGCTTGCTTACAATATTTGGATCGAGTCTATATTTGTCTATATTTGAAATTGAATCTCTTTTATCTTACCTATCCACAAACTTGTTTTTCTTCTCTGTTGTTCCCTTGTCCTTCGGAATACATATATTGCAGTTACAATCAGTCCATCATCGCCTGTACCACTTATAAATTACATAAATGGAAAACAACAAATGCCGAAATCTCAAACGTGAAAGCATATAAATAATGGAAGCAGAATTTGTCCTAATGGAAAATTATGCAGAAATGAAGCATGCAATTTTCTCAGAGACTCGACCATTACATGGGACTACAATGTATCTTTGCCGGATATTAGCTGTTGAGTTATTACTAGACCAGAAGATTCTTTTGAAGAACTTGAATCACTGGATGACGCTTGCGCAAAGTTAATGAAACCGTCTACATTCTTCAAAACGCCATCTATAATAAAAGTGCGGAGAAAAAACTGGCAAAGTTATTTGAAAAAAAAAACGCTACAATCGCTAGTGGAATGGGGCCTCAACAAAACTGGAATCATTTCAGGTATATAGCTACATTTCATGTACGTGCAACATGAGCTAACAAGGATAATGTCTAACGGCATAAAACAAAGGAAAAGAATACCGATAATAGGTAAGACATCTGGTGGAACCTTCCATAAACATTTTAACCAGTGTTGGCAAAACTGGTCTTTCAGCTAGCGTTTTAAGCAGAATCAAAAGTATATTCATTTTGGAGCAGAAATTTTGAGTGACAACGACCGTATCAGGAAAAAGCATCATCTAGAAAAGAAAAAGATTAAGCGCTATGACGATACAGCCTATACCCGCAAGTTATTGAACCTCGACAAAAGATCGCAATATCCTGCAAAAGATATTCAAAATCTAGATACTAAAACCGCATTTTTCTGCCACTGTATTTTTCCTGGCTATCAGCTTTTGCAATTTTTTTGAAACGATGAGATACCATATTTAATATTTTCCAGGAAGCTAAATGCTCAGAAGATCTATAAACTAACGATCGCATAAAACTAACTTTTTGGAACTTTTGAGAAGAGCATTATAAGTACTGGCCCTTAACGAGTCAACGTGTTCCTGTTCCGGAACAGGAAGATCGTATAAGAAACCATCGATATGGCGGCCGCCGATCGTCATCAACATAACGAAATAAATCATCGCAAAAAATTTTGGTACACAGTAGCCTTCCATCAAACGCCTTACTTTGTAGCACTTAAAGCAAAATATCAGTTACTTTCCTAAAATTGAACAATTGCGTATCTAATATTAGAATTGTAATCATGAAAAATATGTGTAAATCAAGGAGCATTAAGTGCACACATTTTTTAATAGTGAAGTGTAGTTACAACTATAAAAAATTAGAATCCATAGAGATCAGGTGAAGAATAAAGAGTGATTTATTTATAAACCTTGCCAAATGCATTATTAAATATATGGAACGGGTTGTCCCAACCGTCTATCCCATGTATTGTAAAAAATAATTTTCAGTTTCATGGAATAATCGTCAGCTTCACCTCATTTGAATCTTTGCGATATTTCTTTAGCAGTATCCACATAAATAACAACGCAATAATGGATTGGCAGTGCCGATACATGGGAAACACATAAATCTTATATGAATATTTTCTCGTGAACATTTCCCATGTAGTAAGGTCAATAGTGTATCTACACAAGTATCTATAGCACCACTAACTCATCAAACAGAAATCTCCAGTTAAATTAGGATAAAGTTCAGTGAGAACAAAAATGAAAAAAAAAAGTATGCAGCACAAAATAAGTGATACAAAGTCAGAAATTCTAATAGGAGATGTGACATTTTTACAGGAATTGACCGTTTTCTGGTCACATACTGAAACGTAGTCAAATTAGTAAGAATTACAGGTACATAACGTGGTTTATTTCTAGCGAATTTTTCAACAGTATTTTTGGAAGCGTCCACTCTTTCAATATTATCTCTTGTCAACTTTTAACTCAATACCTTAAATGTTTTACAGTATTTCACGCTGCTCTAATAGCCTTCGAGAAATTCTAAACACTAAAAAAAGCAAACGTAACAATTCTAGATGGGAAAGGAACTCGCGTAAAATACATGTATTAATATAATCATCACTGTACTTTTATAATAGTAAAACACTCGACATAACAGATTTATCTTTACGTTTTGCGTGCAGAATGCATCGTTGTAATCTATGTTGCGTTACTGACACTGCTTTTGATATTAAAATCAACGACAATCTTCACAGTGCATAACACTACAGCGGCCGAGGAAATATTCATGATTATCTGTTTTACTTAATGAATGTTGTGATTATTAGGGATGGTCAACGGTACAAGTATAACATTCGATGGAATGTTATCGGATGATAAACGCCATCTAGAAAGTCATGCAGAAGGAATCATTGATTTTGTGCTCCTACACGGCCCCACTCTTCTTGAATGGAATTCCTGACTAATGTTTTCTTGAGGAAGTTTGGTATTCTTATTCAAGCAATGAACTAATGGTTTTTCTTTGGTAGGAGGCGGGGTTTGGGGTTTGTTTAGGTTATGTGAATTGGATGAATGTACTGCGGTCATTTCATTTTTCGATTTAGTATTTCTTGGACTTAGGCTGATAGAAGGACATGGCTGTTCCAAGGAAAACAATCGTTTGTCTGTTCCGAATTTTGTGCTGAGATAAACTGAAATACATGTATTAGTGATTTGTTAATAAAAATTGGTTACTGGACAATCGTAAGTGATTAGCTCATTGCACTTTATATTCATAATAGTAAGAAGACGTGGTTTATACATGAGTTACAGGAATTTTGTCTTTTGTTGTTACATCAGTAATCAAGGATGTTGTGATGCGTTAGCTTTACTCTTTAGTGTTATATTCTTTGATTTTTTGATTCGCAGATGAGATCGTTATATAATGCGCTTTTACAGCCGCATAAATGTCTGGCGGTATCGCTGCAGGTCGTTTAGCCGAAGAAAGGAAAGCGTGGAGGAAAAATCACCCATTTGGATTTATCGCAAAACCTTCGTCAAATCCTGATGGCACGAGGAATCTTTTCAACTGGGAGTGTGCCATTCCTGGCAAGAAAGGAACTATATGGGAAGGCGGTCTGTACAAGGCGAATTTTGTTTTCACTTCTATTTGCGAAATCTGACTTAGCGGAAATTTTTATCCTGTGCTTATTATTCGATCTGACTTACTTATTACTACAAGTGAATATTCTGTTGTTTTCTGGTTATAGATCGCACTTTGAATTTGATTAGGAAATATTGAATTCATTTTTAGCTATCTGAATTTTTTCGGACAGGATGTTGTTCAATTTACTTCTCCTTCCATTCAAATTCCCATGAGTTGATTCTGGTACTATTAAATCATTGCAGATTAGGATGCAGTTTAAGGATGACTACCCCTCTACACCACCGAAGTGCAAATTCGATCCTCCTTTATTTCATCCGAATGTGTATCCTTCAGGAACTGTTTGTTTGTCGCTATTAGACGAAAATAAGGTGTGCTTTAAAGTTTTCTTAGTATGTGTTTCGAGAGCGCTGGTTAGTTAGAATTTCTTTAAAATATTTTGAATATTTTTCTCTCATTGATTTCTCATCCTTGATATGTCGAAGAAAAGCTTTCTTTTATGGAATTGCTTCGTTATAGGTCCAGTTGCATACGTCAAATTGGTATATGGATTGGGTATTTCATACTAGGATAAAAGAAATTAAGCATTCTGTGCACAAGAAAGAACTAGTAGCGGAGGTAGATTTCTGTGAAAGGCAGTACTGTGCACCTAAACTCCTAAACTCCATCAAAGAGATGATAAAAATTTTCTTAGCTATTTTATTAGTATATCATGGCTGATGGTGCTATTACAATCTTAAACTACTCTGCACTAGTTTACTTCAAAAAAGAGCATATTGTAAGTCTCCCCTTGGATGGCAAATTAGATTAATACCTGAGCAGTTTAGTAAGTGCAGACCCTTTTAATTGAAAAATAAGCTCCCTCATTTGATGGACCAATTATCTTATGAAAACCGAACGATTCATTTTCAAGATTTATTAGTGTAGCATGACTCGACTTTACTAACAAATTTTCTATGGCTAAAGCCGAATGTCTGAATGAGGGAGCTTATTTTTTCAATTAAACCACTGAAATGTTACAGTCATTTTAGAATCTTTGTCATCTTAATCATTTATTTTGTTATTCATTATGAACTTCGCATTATTGTAGATTTTTAATTCTTTCAGGACTGGAAACCATCTGTAAGTGTACGACAACTCCTGATTGGCATTCAAGACCTTCTAACAAATCCCAATGTTGAAGACCCAGCTCAAGCCGATGCTTACCAAATTTACTGTCAGAATAGGTCAGTAAACTTTCAGTTCCTGGTTGTCGGTTGAACGGATAAAAGTTTTGATTCATTAGCTTCAGAAAGATACGTTTCATAATTGCGCGAGCAATTTACGGCAATTAGAATGAGTGGGACAATGAGGGTTTTGTAAAATGGCTATTTTGCTGTTTCATTTAATGGTTGAAGTTTATAAAGTTTGTAGAAATTCAAGCACAGTAAATACCATGTTCCGTGGTCTTTAACTTAAGTTGAACTGCTGATCCAATTTATAAGGTTAATTCCTTTTGGAACAGTACATATTTCAACATTCCAAAACTTTCGAATTGAAATGGCTGCTATAAAATTGTTTTAGAGTAGAGTACGAAAAAAGAGTTCGACGTCAGGCGCAGCAATTTGCTGCTGACATTGTCCAGAGGCAAATGTTAGATAATTAATGGAGAAAAGCATGATCTACATCAGCACAATTCTATTCACGCGCAGGATCGATCTCGATATTGGCTAAAATAATTAGGCGTTGTTTTGCTTCATGGCGGCAACGAAAAATTTTTTTGGACTGGCCGCGTCTAAAATTGTTACTGTACTCTTTTTTTTTTAATTCCTAAAGTAGAAATTATGTCCTCACACTATGAGTCGATTCAAGTAGTATTTATGAAATAGTGAATACTTCTGTTAGCGATATTATAGAAAGAAACAAAACTCTGAAATGAATCCATCTTTTTTGAGGATTGTTGATCGAAGTTGTTTAATTTATCAGATAAGAAAAAGATTTCCTTATATTATTCAAGAGGCAAAAAATGATATTTGTAAATCATATGTTGTTACTATTAGGGACATGGATATTTAAAGCTGTGATAGAATCCCACCAAGAAAGGTTTAAGGAGTAAAGATAGTTTTTCTATGTTCTCTGTCGGAAGTATGACTAAGTATCATCGATTCATGATTGGTTAGTTCAAAAATAATTTTTTTTTCCACTCTGGAATGAAACGGCCGAATATTTTATGGTATCAGAATTGGTTGTCATATTTTATACTGTTTGGTACAAGGCATTTGTTTTATTTGTAAATACCAAGGAACGTGCTTGAACATTGTATGTGAGCATATCTCTCTATAAACATAGGATGTGTTTCATGTCAATGCTGTCGAAAAAAGAAAGCAGTCATAAGTCAAAACAGTCAAAGTTTCAAGGTTTCTTAGGCAATATGCTCGTTCACCCTAAATTTTTCTCTTTCGTTCATTGGTTTTTCTATTATTATCAATAAATTCCTTCGTTCCTCATTCTGCACTCATTGTAATTAACAGTTTATTAATCATTAAAATCATTAATCATATTCTAAAATCATTAATCACTAAAATCATTAATCGTATTCTACACGTACTTTTGACTACAAAGAGGTGAAGAACTTTTCAGATATCTTGCTGAATAAAGTGAAATTGCATAAAAGCCATGATCGATTAGGAAGAATCATGAACAGAACTTGATTACTTGTTTCTCCGTTCTCACTAATCAGGGCTAGACTGGTCCCACCTTGCTATCATGTGTTATAAGCGATTGTCAGGGAAGTGAGATTTGAGAATTATCTAATTGAGATCGTAAATCTTGTAGCTTAAAATCACGGTGGACATAGGACCGTATTTGTTCATTTGTCCTTTACTATTTCAAAGAAATTCAAACTTATGGAGCATTACAACACACTCAGACCAGTGGGAGATACTGGTAATGATTTTACTTCAATTTATATACTAAATGCACGTGCCTGAGATTTGTTTGCGTGAGGTGCCCACTTCTACGTTTTTCCGTCCAACTAAATTTTTCCAATTTATGGTATACCAATTCCTGTTATTGTTTACCGTGCTGCTATCAACAATATTTAGTATAATGCACTGAAGAGCCTTGTGAAATAAAAGAACAGAGAAATTAATCAAATATATGTCTGCAGGACTTCATCATTATTTATACATGAAGTTTCAGTGATGAACCACGTTTTACAACTGACAGTTTGTCAATTTCACGAATCACTTTTTTAAGCTATAGAGGGAAATGGTGGAATTAATTTGCAGATATTACGAAAGTATAGGATTGATCAGTAATCATGTTGATGTTCGAATACATTGCCCTTGAATGAAACTTCGCATAATTTCTAGAAAAGAAGAGAAAGAAGGATATATGAAGATGTCAGTGATGGTTATTTTTTGTGATAATGTTTCCAGAGATTATGCAATGACATCTACTTGCCCATAATAATAGAATGTGTCAATGAATAAATATTCCATTGCTGTATGGCAGCACCATGCAATTGAAATATTTAGTTGTATTGTTGGAGGATGTCGCTGGCCGATTAGCCATCAAAAATATGGGACAATCGGTGATCTGTGAAAAGATGGAAATCGCCCTCATTAGAGTTATTATAAAGTTGTCATTTAGATACATATCATTCCTCTTACAGCCAGCAGTTCATTTTTCATGATATATTTATTGCTGAGATTGTCTCCTTTTAGTAAATATACCTGTTGGCTGAAAATTTAAATTTGGTTTCTTTTTTTTGAAATATTTATTGCAATTTGATCAGACATCTGATCAGCGTTGTCATTTCTTTTGCATTTTCTCATAATCGTACTTCCATGTTCAAGAATTTTATCTTTTACTATTATATCGTTCAATCTACTCCAGAAAAAAATGATTGTTTAATACTTTCAATTACCTTATGTAATTCAAACAATTTGACATGTTAAAAAAAAACACTTAAAGTTAATCAGTTACTTCTGTGACTGAATGTGTCGCTGAAGATTTGAAAGTGCATTATAAAATGATTATTCAAAATATGCACCGTCATGTTGGCAAATAGTTGCAGGAATTTTCAATTCCCAACAAAATGCTGTTGCTCCCGGTGATGCTGTTTTTGGTAAAAGCAGCCAGTGGTCAGCAACAGTTCACAATTAATTCATCATGTGGCGAATACACAATTCCGTTCTCATTTCAAAATGATAAAACTGGAAATCCAAGTATCGCTATAGTTTATGAACCATTTGGAAAAAATGATAAATAGTTTATCCAGTATTTAATATTTGAAAATTGTAAAAAATATTTTTTTCTGGCATTTAAGTATGCAAATCTATGGAACTTGATATCATATTGACAAAGGAATGTTATAATATCCTTCGTTTTCCAAAACTAGCGATTCTAAATTTAATGAAGTATTGCAAATTCTGAAAATATGTTTTTCATGCTTGCAAGATCTAATTCACAGATAGTTTTCTCCCGAATCATTAAAGATATTCTGGGATTTTGTTCTGCTGGAGAGAATATTTGAAAGTAGTAAAAAATATTTTTCTCGGACACTGGATGAAATCATTTTTCAGCCCTATTATGTACTTCGCCGGTTTGTTTTGGCGAGAAGAGATTATATGAATTGAAACGTGATGATGTGATTCAAGAAATGGAAACTGAAACAAAAAGCTCGCTCGGATCGGAGAATCACGTTCATAAAGCGGTGAATTATTTTACACTATGGCATGAAGTGCAGACTATTAGTAAAAATAATTTTCAATTTTTCAATTTGATACATTGCAAAGTTATTCAGATATCTTTTAGCAATGTCATAAATATTATCAGAATATCAGTTGTACTGGAGAAACGCAATGGACGGTTGGATTACTTCTTGAAGATGACGGAAACAATGTTAAGTAAGTTGGAAATTTTAATAATTGTTCGTCATACGTTTTAATATGTTAATGAATTCCGATTATTAAAATTTCGTTTTTGTAGGGCGAAATGGAAATGCTGCAATTACGAGGGTTTACGACATGCCAGAGCAATAAAAACAGTGATTGTTAACAACGATGAGAGTTATACGGGTGGAGAGGTATATCAAAATAGCCGCAGAGTGGCATTTGACCTGATTAAGGAAGTATATCTTTTATTCGATGAGCAACATAGGTTAAGCCTTTTCTAAATAATGCCACCACTTTTAATTATATTCACCAGCAAATTATTTCTGTTAACTATTGGATAATCTGATATTATGCACACAATCTAAAAATTTCGCTCCACCAATTAGTATTGAAGTGATTTGATGATAACTTTCAATAACTTCTAAATTAGTTTAAGGAGAGCATTTTCATATTTATACACTTTCCGAAACAGCTGTAAACGTTTGTAGTGAATAATTCAAAATAATTCCATGATATGATCAATCTATCCGAACCTAAAAATATTACTCAACTTTTTTGTACTCATATTTAGGCCTCGCTATGAGTTGAAAATAATGCGCCTAGCATGTATTCCGAAACCGATAGATATCAAAAATAAATGTTCGTTTACATTTTATTCATATCTTTTCTGCCTTAGTTAATTAAATCTATTATACAGTCCTGAATTACTGCTGCACAATATCACAGCTTTTATTTTCCTACCCTAAATGCGTGTTTACTTCTCCATTAAGAATATTTGAACCCTTCAAAGCCATAAACACACCTATAGAGAGCAAGTCTCCTTTTTTTTGTTATTAGTTCTATTTTTTTCCATCTTTAAACCTGAACAAGGATAAATACTGAAGAATTAGCGAGATCTGCTCAATCCTTCCTAATTTCAGTTTCTAACTCATCCGGGATAAAATAAGTTCGATCATTGCTCAACAGTTTAAAAAAATATAGTTGCATAGATACTTATATTGGGAATGATTGAGGAATTAGAGTAATGTCTGCAAGCCATAATTTCACTTGATTTATTTCCCAAAATTCAAATTTGAGAGATTTTTAATATCTGCAACATTTTTACCTCAATTATCTAATTTCGCTTTTTTTCAACAATTATTTCATGTTTAAATTTAGAATAAAATATAACTATTTCGGTAATAACAATATTTGTAGTATTAACTGATAAGAATAATGGGTTAAACTTACCAACATTTGACGTTTCATCAGAATACGACACCGAAGAATATGTTTTTACAAATCAGCATCACGCAAAATATTCAAAACCAAGAAGGTAATTATTTCAATTCAATCTTATATATTTTGCTTTTTCATTGTCTCCATGATATTATGCTTACAAGCCAGTTCATATTTTACATTCCCAATTCATTCATAATATAGGGATATTCTGAGAAACAAATATATGTTTCCCAATTTTTTAAAACTAAGTTTGTATTTCATTCTTGTTAGATTTGCCCTTGCTGCTTCAGAGTTTCTTGATTTTATTTAAATAACATTTAAACAGACGATCAACAATTCTGGAAGATGAAAATTTCGATGATTTATTCTTACCCAGACATCGAATGACGCATCGGAGAATGTTTTCACTTCGTAAAAGACCTTTCTACAGACCTATTGCTGAAGATTATGACTATTACGATTACGATCCTGTGATTTTCAGGCGTCCATCTATGCATCGCAGGTACCAGTCTTTTAGATATTTTCAGTCACAAACCGTACGGAGAAGCTACGGGAGCTATTACATTTATACTCGAAAAATGAAAGTGCATGAAAATGCTAAACAGCTCTGAAAGTATTTGCAATTGTCTCTGAAAGAGTATATTTTAGGATAATTGCGGATGGATTATGGCCGATAAATTTAGGCATAGTAGGACGTAATCGCCCTGTTGTAGCTGCTGCGGCTGTGTCTCCAACTATTTATGAATTCACATCTCCGGTACTGTCAATTCTGTAAAAATGACTTGAAGCAATAAATGAGAACCTTACAACTCTTTATGAAACTCTTTATGCTTTTATATTTAGAATGCAGTTGAAAGTGATTATCACCAATTAGTCGACAGTGACAGCGTAGTAACTCCAATCAATTCTGCCCAAGCAGAAGTCTATAGTCAACTATCACCTATTGTAGGTGCTTTTATGAATGATTATAATATGTTAACAATCAATCAGAAGTACAGGTTTTCTTCATCATTGAACATCTGAATAAATTTTAAATCAGTTCAAGATACTGTCTGAAATGAAACTTTTTTCCAAAAAATAACTGACTGATACGTAATTCTTGTGCCATTTTTTCTGGGCCTTATCAGAAATTGAGATACTTGCAAGACTTTTTTTACAGCCAACACAATATCTACCTCAAAGAGGTGTAATACCATCTCAGCCAAAAACTTTGACCGCTGTACAACACACTGCGCCCACATACGGTGGCAGTAGTGTACCGGTAAGCTATGTGTCAACATATTGATTATTCAGTATAAAAACTTTTCAGTTTTATGCTTATAAGAATTTTATAATAAATAATGCTGAAAGAGTAGAAAAAAGGAAAGAAAAAATTTTTTCCTTTAAAAAATTACCAACTCAAAAATAAAACGGTGATATTAATATTAGAAGTTATGAAGTTCGTATAAATGCTTTCAGTACTATAATGGTTACTTTGAAACGCTGCAGTGCTTTAGCGGAGATACGACTGTACAGACGCCTGATCAGATAAAACGGATTGACGAATTGCAAGTTGGAGACCAAGTCTTATCGATAGAAGAATCATTGGTAAGTTAGTAAATTTCATTTCAAGCAAATTGCCATTCAAAACAAAACCGCAATTATTCAGATAAATGAATTTTATGAGGAAAAAAATGCGCAAACGAGAATTGATTTAGATTTCTTATTCACCAGTGGTGATGTTTTTGCATCGATCTGATAATGAATCAGCAATTTTCAATAAGATTATTCTGGTTAGTTCCATTTTATTATTTTATTATTAATATTATTATTATTAATTATTACTATTATTATTATTATTATTGTTATTTTTTCCTATATTTCTTTTTTGTCTTTTCATGTTAACCAGTAAAAATTGAGTGAATATTAAACTTTTGGTATTAAGTTTTTGCACTTTAAAATGTCTACTAATACTTTTGTGGAATTTCAGGAAAACGGTGAAATAATAAAATTAACTGACTATCATTTATTATATGTTACCGATTGTACGATAGGAGAAAACCTACGTTTGACATTTGCGAAAGATGTTAGATTAGGACATTGTCTTCATGTTGTCAGAAAACAATCCAATAATTTAGTGCCGGTTCAAGTATCAAACATCCAACGGGTTTGTTTTATCTTATCATTCGATCTATTCTACGCAACGTGAATTTATTGGAGAGCAACAAAAACTTAGAAAGTGAAACAAATTATCCATGAATGAAATAAATTTCTTTATCACTCAAAATAATGCAAAATATTTGAATTCCAGTTTACTGGTAAAGGATTTTATGCGCCTCTTACGGCAAACGGAGATATTATCGTAAATTCAATACTATCATCCTGTCATAGCAATGTAGCGGTGCAAACTTTGCAGCAGTCAATATTCAACCTTCTACGAAAATTTCGGTCTCTAATATCTACTGATCAAACCACGGATGGCCTACTGCCGGGCATTCAATTTCTTACGCAAATTTCAGAACTTTTTTTGCCACATAGCATTATTTAGTGATACACCAACAGGTTTCCTTCATTGCAGTTCTTACGGGAAATCAATAAAATTCTTTAAATAGCAATCTCATTTCTTATTAAAGCGCTACTACTATTACGATTCATGATAGCGATAATTTTTTGAGATGAATGTAATAAAAATTAATCATTTATCTGAGGAAGTTGAGAGAAGTCATATTATCATTTAAAATAATTAGTGGTCGGCAAAATAAAACTTCCTTGTCCAAGTGGTTTTGTAGTTTGGGTACCATTTATAGGCCATATGGTATCGTAAAGTGATGGCGCTTCCAAGAGAATCAGGAAAGTACCAATATTTAGAACAGAAAATATTATAAAAAATAATCGGTCAAGTACCATTGCTACGAAAGTCCATTCATCAGATATCTATAAACAAAATATTTCGCATTTTCTGGTATTTCCGCAGTTTCGAATTTCATACATTTTATGGTGTAATAAAAACTTAGAAAATGTAAATGATATTGCATACCAGTTGAATCAATATCAAATCCGAGATTTTGGAACTCAAACATGAACCATCAGAAAAAATTTGAAGTTCGAATTCCGAATATTTTCTATCACACAAACTTAATTTTGATACCTGCACATTCCCAAATCCAAAAAAAAAGGAAAAAATCATAATTTTTATAACATGCAAACTGAAAGTAGGGAAAATAGAAACCTTAGCTTTCTCTTCATTTATCCGGAAATGGTTGGCAATAAATCGAATCTGTTGTAATAATTTCGAAAGCATGTATCTCTTATAAATCAACCACTTTTCAATATCATTTAAGTAGTGATGTTGATGTGTGAAATGTGTATAACTCTTATCATCTTCAGTAGCATGAAAAATAATTTAATGTTTTAAGCTCAGATCTTTAAATTTCATTGCATCAATGAAGAATATATGAAAAACTAACTATACCATCTTCATGTCCATAAGAAAACTCTTCGACGTTCTTTTCTCTATGACTTAAGCCAGAACGAGAATGAAATGAATAAGATGGTAGAGCATAACATTTCTCGGATTTATTTCTTCCTGAAACTGTAAAGTTGTTAAAATGTAAATTTTTTTGTTCCACACACAATTTTTTTTCAAACATAATGTAAAGATGATTTTAAAAGTAAATTAATTGTTCCCAATATCGGATAATTCCGGCATATGATCTGTTATCTCAAATGTTCGTTTATTGTAAAAGAGTAACAGAATTTATAAATTACTTTCTTGGGCTGTGAAACAGTAATAGAGCTCATCCGCTGGCGTTCTTTGTTTTATCAGCGATAAAGCATCAACTAATTTATTCTTCGAAGTTTCAGTTTTTCGTTTCCGTATATTCTGTTCCATAAACAGTATTCTGAAACAAGATGTACAGATATCTTAAAATAATAAATTGCTTTATTAGAAGTCCAAGTTTGCCTTCGTAGTTCAATCTTTCGCATTCTTATCAGCGTCTGACAATTGCACATAAATCTTCGTAAGAAATTTAAGATAATATATATATCATCAAGTCATGCTGTTTAACTCCATTGTGGTGAGAATGTTGATAGTTTGGATCATTAACCTTGACCGGCTAGCATACAGCAATTTCTTTATTTCCTTCCCTGAAGTTTTCATGCATACAGGTCTTTATCCTCTAACTCAATTGTTAACAGCTCCAAATGTAAGTTAAGGAGGGAAATCATTGAATTGTGAATCATTTAAATAAATGATACCATGTGCAATGATTACTTGATCACTATAGAGTTTCAGAATAAGTCACATTTATATCGTACTCTGTTATTATTTAATCAAAGCTAATAATCAATAAAGATATATAAAAGTATTACTTTGGTAAAAAATGAAGGAAGAATTTCCGTATCCAAGGTGACATACGATAAGAAGATCCATTCCGGAAACGAAAATTCACAATGATAACCGAAATAACTGTTGAGAGTGAAACAAGAATCATTGTTGTAATTAGATAGCGCCCAAACATAGGTATTACTAATGAAGTTGGCGGTATTATATCGATTAAAACCTTCAAACATTATGACGATAAAGCTTCGTGTAAGAATGATAGATTTCAGATAGGGATCTTGTAATCAGCAAAATTTTTTCCTTTAGAAAAGTGATTTCATAAATGTTTTTCATGCGGTAACATTTTTAACTTAAATGACTGTTATCACTAGTTTATTCAATTATATTACTCAAAAATGATAACAAAATAGGGCAAGTATACGTTCAAATGTGAATTTTTCAAGATCTTCAAAGGAATATTTCAAATTTGAAGTTTCTTTAATCTTATCTAACACTTTTTTGCTCTTTAAAAATAATTTTCATTCATTAAAACAAATTGAAAAATTGCTTAGATAGAAATATTTCCCTAAAAATGTTCAAATGTAATAGTATAAAATGGCCATAAAAATATGAGAAATAAAGAAGAAAACGAAAAACAATTTCAAATTAGAATCTAATTGCATTATCGCTTTCCACTTATTCTCTTTTTAGTTATAAGAGCTTCTTGACAGAGTTTCTCATTTCTAAATCGCTTTAAAAAGTTAATCAAAATATCAAAAGAAATGCCAGAATTTAAGTATTCGATAATCGGAAATGGATAACTCGAAATGTTTTTGCTTAAGTGAAAAAAATTGCGAAATCTAAAATGAGTTAATTTTGAAAATGAAATTAGCAAACATATGGTTCAGTACTATCGGAAATATAACTAACGGCGACTCTTATGAGAAATTAAAATGATACATAATATAAAATATTTGTTAAGTTTATTAAGTTGCAATCATATGGATAATGCTTTAGTAATATAAAATAGATTTTGATGGGATTGCAATGATAGTGATTGAAATGCAAATTGATTTTATATTTTCAAGCAACTAATCATCTAAATGTTAAACGCTTCACATACTCTTTTACTTTTGATATTTAACGAATAGTTGTTAGTTAAGAGAAAGAGAAACTTACCAAAAAGAATACTGTTAATGTAACCAACATAGATATTGAAAATGTTATTTTATGATCAGTTAAATAAAAAACAGTGGTAGTTTGAAGAGATATTAGGAAGCATGGTACGATTAGGGTACAAGTGAAGAACAGCGTTTTCCGATGTAATACAAAATAATAAGTAATATCGACATATTTTTCCGGACCACAACAACTTATATAAAGAACAGAATGTCGAGCTGATGATAATGATAATAGATCCCATTCTGCAGATCTGAACTATTTTTATTGGTTTCTTTTTTTTTCTAAATTTTAAAAAAATTTAAAAAGAAATTGCTCATTTCTATTTTTGTTAATGTTAGATTTTATTTATTATTTTTACCTTATTTCTACTAAAAGATGAATGAACCTAAATGGTTAAAAACGATTGATAATTTGTGAATTTTAGTAAACTCTTCCATAAGCTACTTTTTATGTCATTAATATAGCAATTGATAACTATTTCTGTGATTCAATGTTATGATATACGATGATAATAAAATGGTTACTGATAAAAGAAACTGAGGTCCATTCCTATTTTCATTGTTTCAACATCTTGACCATATTTGTCTTTCCCATTCATTACTTGATCTGTAAAAAGATAAGGGATATCATTTATTTACAAAACGAATTTCAAATTTAAAAACATTATAATTTTCTAAATGAAAATATGAACCTTGTGGAAGTTGTTTTAAATCAACATAATAACCAGTGTAAGACCAAGCGCCAAATTTCATCTCGCATTGCTGTGAATCATATGGGAACCAAGTTACATCGATCTGAATATTTTTAACGAACAAGAATAAAAGTAAGAATTAACCGAATTTTTTTTTTGATTTAATGAAAAAAACTTGCCGGGCAAAATGATTTATAAATGCCGGGCGGCTGCCACAAAACACGTCCATCATAAGCAACAAGAGCATCCGTAAAAATTGTTATATCCGGATCACCTGCTGCGCTATAACGAAATGAATTTTATCAAGTTCATAGACAAAATTTTTCGATTTCAACATATCTTTCTCATTGTCAACAATTAATTCTAAATCTTATTCATACTTATTATATAATACGAGATCAGGAGTCCAAATTTGATCGCTGGGGATATGTAATGTTGTGATACCACCATATTTCGATGGATCCCACTTTAATTTTGAATCGTTCCACTGCTGAAACCATGAATAAAGGTACATTTTCGGAAAAAAATAATAAATTGGGTTTTTTTTCCTCATAGCATATGGAAAATTTGAAGCGAACTGTATGGTAAAAGGGAATTACCATCTGAAGCCATAAGTTTGTTGTAAGAATTTGATTCTTTTCATCCTAAAAAAGAAAACTCATCATAGATTAAAAAAAAAAACAGATGTTATAGTAAGTTAACATTGACCACATCAATTCGGATCGGATTTCAATTCACTTACCACATCAATGATTCGAATTAATGATGCGCCCAGATTTACTGTAAGAACATCGGTGCTATTTTTAATTGGACGCGGAATTTTATTATAATCATACAAAAGATCTTGATATAGTTGGCTTTCTAGTTTCGCGAAATTTCCAGCAATCAAAACTAACTTATTGGTTAATAAAAAAGTAAAACATAAAAGCATTGTTCGATTTTGATCATAAAACTCTGAAAAAGGAAGAATGTAAGCAAAAATGTCTAAATATTGCAACATAGTTAAACAACGAATTCCTCAAAGACTGTCTATAATAGTATGAATTCGAATCTTATTGTTCGATTTTGTTTACCTCATGTATCTTTAGCTATTTAGGCATATCATTACATTATTTGGCATAGTTTTTTTAAGAGAAAAGCCTTCTGGTACGTCATCATATTTCTGCCTATCGCATACTTTTTGTTTAAATAATTCTGCACTTAAGTCTTTTTACTATTAATTCTAAAACTACTGATTTTAAATTATTATGTATAAGTATGAAATATAAAAGTTCAGCCTGATAGTAACCGATGAATTGTTAAATGATAACAATTAATGCAGAAAGAAGAAAGGTTAATTTTGAAATATTTCTCAATTAAAAGTTTCTTTAATCAATGAGGTTTCCACATGATAGCTGAAGAGTTTTATTGGGCAAATCATTTAATAGCCTGAATAAAGGACAAGTACATATTAGACATTCTTATCGACTATTATTGAAGGAAAGCGCATTATGCATGGAGAATGCTTCCATTCCCCTGTATCTTCCTCCCTTAATAACCAATTGCACAATCTCAATGAAAATGGCCTAATCCAATCTTCATTGATTTCTCTTTTCTTTCTACCATGTCACTCCAATAATATCATAACAAATCTTCCAGTAGAAGTAAGATCGGAATTTCTTTTACATTTAAATTTGAATGTCAATTTAAGGGCCAGAATATTTGTTGAAAATGTTATGCGTTCCACTTGTTTCAGGAAACATATTCATTTGAATGTAATCGAAATACCACCGATCTAATAACATTGATCTAATGTGATATGTAATGTTATGAGTCCATTATAAGTGTGATATATGTATATTTTATCAGTAGTGTATGTATTTAAATATTTTAAACATATCTTTTATATATATGTTTTAAAGATCAATGTTTAAAACAAACAGAATTATTGCTGACATACATAACCAACAATATCATTGTGAGTGATTGTACGATTGCAATCATTTGTATACCAATATTTTCCATTTTTTTCGGTCTCCGCAAATACACACGAGTACATTATGTTCGGTTCATTCTTACCCCATAATTGATACCTTAATTTTGTATTATCTGGCCATTTCCATCCGTTACCATCATTCGAAAGACCAATCCAAAATGGATACTGGAAGTGGAAGTTAGCTGAAAAATTGTAACAGATGGAATACGAATATACCATTAATGTTATTGTTGTTAATTTTAAATAACCATTAGTCACTGCAATGATAATTTTTAAAACTATAAAAGAGATGAAATATAAGAATATGAAACGAAGGAAAACTTGCAATACAAAAATTCGGTAGTATCTTCATTAGCGACCGTCACCAACACCGCTCCCATATCCATGCAGCTCTTTTTAGCTTCATAATATGTATAATTAACTTCCTCAATCTGAATAAATAATTTAAAAATAATTGAACTATATAATATTTTCTTGTATTAAGATATAAAAAAGTAATTTGACAAACTGTAACCGTATTTACCTGAGCGTAGCACCGACCCCGGAAGAATTCCCAGCCATTGTTACACCAATCTGCAAACTATTTTTATATAAATTTATAAATTATCTCATTACAGTAATATTGCGATTTCTACCATATAATGTATTTTAAAACACTGTAGTTCTTCTGAGAGTTATGAGCAAAAGTCATTTAGTATAAAGTTAAACTTAGCATTGAGAATAGGTCATTTTTAAGCTTTTTTTTTCGGATGTTCGACTGAATTTATTGAATGATTTTTGAATATTACTGTTAAATTTACAATGTGATTGCGACGATAAATAGCTTGTAAAGGTCGTCGTGTTTTGTAAACCAGTTGTTGATGAATTAATTAAAGCTGATAAATACGAGCTTCCCACGCCGACGATTTCGAAATGCTTCTTTGAACTGCTTTCGATCTCAGAAACATTTTTTTCGGGTAAGTCAGTCGTTGCGCTTAATTCATGGGTGTTTGAAATCGTAGAAACTTCTTCTTTGGTTTCACTTATATTGTCATTTTCAGCCATAACGGTGAAAACAAATTCATTTGTGGTTTTGTTTACAGTGCTATTTTCAGTCACGAAGGACGAGAAGTCCGTTATTTCATCCTTATTGCTATCTTCTAATTCGGAAGATGCAAAAGTCGATAATTCTTCTTTAGTGATAATTTCTGTCATGTCAGATGAAAGAAACGTCGTAGATATTGTATTATTGATAATTTCTGTCTCGGGAAATGAAGGAATCGTTGATAATGTATCCTTAGTGGTATTTTCTATTACAGAAAATGTAGGGATCCTCAATGATTTCACAGATATTGTCGATGTCTCCTCAGAGGCAATTTCTGTTATGAGAGTTGAAGAAAATGACGACAATAAATCTTCAGTGGTAACTTCTGTTGTGGGAGATAAGGGAGACATCGTCGATGATGTATCCTTCGTTGCATTTGTCGTAAGAAATGGAGGCAATATTAATGATCTGTCCTCAGAGGTAATTTCTGTTACGAGAGATGGAAGAGTGGTAATTTCGGTTGTAGGAGAAACTTTCGTTATTTCATCTTTGTTGTTATCTTCTAGTTCAGAAGATGCGAAAGTCGACAATTCTTCTTTAGTGATAATTTCTGTCATGTCAGATGAAAAAAACGTCGTAGATATTGTATTATTGATAATTTCTGTCTCGGGAAATGAAGTATCCTTAGTAGTATTTTCTATTATAGAAAATGTAGGAATCCTCAATGATGTCACAGACATCGGCGATGTCTCCTCAGAGGCAATTTCTGTTATGAGAGTTGAAGGAAATGACGATAATAAGTCTTCAATGGTAACTTCTGTCGCGGGAGATATGGGAGACATCGTCGATGATGTATCCTTCGTTGCATTTATCGTAAGAAATGGAGGCAATATTAATGACCTGTCCTCAGAGGTAATTTCTGTTACGAGAGATGGAAGAGTGGTAATTTCTGTTGTAGGAGAAATTTTCGTTATTTCATCTTTGTTGTTATCTTCTAATTCAGAAGATGCAAAAGTCGATAATTCTTTAGTGATAATTTCTGTCATGTCAGATGAAAGAAACGTCGTAGATATTGTATTATTGATAATTTCTGTCTCGGGAAATGAAGGAAACGTTGATAATGTATCCTTAGTGGTATTTTCTATTATAGAAAATGTAGGAATCCTCAATGATGTCACAGACATCGGCGATGTCTCCTCAGAGGCAATTTCTGTTATGAGAGTTGAAGGAAATGACGACAATAAGTCTTCAGTGGCAATTTCTGTTGCGGGAGATAAGGGAGACATCGTCGATGATGTATCCTTCGTTGCATTTATCACAAGAAATGCAGGCAATGTTAATAATCTGTCCTCAGAGGTAATGTCTGTTACGAGAGATGGAAGAGTGGTAATTTCCGTCGTAGGAGAAACTTTCGTTGTTATTCTGCTCAAATCGTCGGTATTTGTAGTAGAAGATGAAGGAAATTCCATTGTTATTTCGCCAACGATATCTTTTACAGACAATGGAAAATCTGTCGTGTTTATTTTTTCTAATGTTGTAGTTTCTACAAAATTTGAAGGAAACTCGATTGATTTTTCGTTCTTAATATCACCTTCACCCTTGTGTGTCAAAATAGTTTCCAGTGTAATATCCGCTGAGGTTCTAATTTTAATCACTCCATCATCAACTATAGAATTTATCCCTGGTTTATCGGTTAGAGAAGTAATGTTTTTCGTATTGTTTTTTGTCAAAAGAGAAACTAAAGTGCTGTTAAAAATGCATAAGCCATCTTTTGATTCAATTAATTTTGAACAGATCAATCCTTCGGAGCAATGATCGTCCATTAAACAAGGATCTCCTAAACATGTTTGCAAATTATTTCAACATTCTTCAATGACTTCAGCAAATAATTTCTTTTTGGAAAGTTTAGCACACCAACTAATTTGCTGAAATTTGCTTTAAAAAATCCAAAAATGCTAATCTGCAGCATGAATTAGCATAGAAATTGTTATAAAAGTGCTATTGGTATAAAATTCTCACCAAAAATACCACGCGTAAAACAATACCCGTTCCAGCAAAATTCTTCATCCATACAATCTCGATTGTTTTTGCATTCTGAAAAATACTGACAATAGCATTAATAATAATTTTTACATAAATTACAATTATTATAATATTTAAGAATAAATTTCCGCTCTTTCAAAATCATATTTCTATATTTTTTCAATGATATGTTACATATTACAGTAATATTTCATTTAAATGCTTCATTATTATATTTGATACAATAACTGTATGCTCTTACCATCATTATTGGCTATAAAAATATTTAGTGGTAGTTTCAGAGCGATATTTAGCATCCGATATGGCGATTGCTTTATCGTTAGGAAAACTTTTCGATTTTCTAAAATCAGCCAGAAAAAAATAAGTCGGAAATTTTTGAATGAAAAATAAGTGTGTGAAGAAAAACTTATGAATGATTTCATTTTGCTCAAAAAATTCTTACTGTGAAAAATGATTGGTAAAGTACCTGTCCTATTCGGTATTTGTGATTGTGGATTTTCACTTCCTGATTTGATAATTTTCAGACCTGAAGAAATTTTAGATCGATAAATTGGAAGAAAATTGAACATTTTACAACAGTAAGATATTGATATTTTGTTCTTTCAATATTATTTTTAAAGCACACCTGCTTCGAATACTTCGAAAAATTACAATTTATACAATTTATGTCTCTTTACCACTATCATACGACTGACTGAATTTGGATTACAGCTTTTTTTTTTTCTCGATAATTTGGAAAAGGATTTATTCAATTAGATTTTGACGATGAGGACTACTTTTGTTGATTGATTTCTTTAGCAATAAATTTCAACTTATAGCTCGGTGAAATGATCACTCATCACTTGACAAAAAAAAGATAGTAAACTATGTTTTCGTGGAACACTGATACTTTTTTGACTGAAATGAGAATCTCCAATAATGGAAAACTTGTGATTGATAACTATCATTCATTGGAAGTATATTCCATAGGCGTTCTCTTCGTAATTTTCGTAACATATAGTTACAGTCGTGAAAATCAATTAGTGAAAATGTGATACTTCTTTATCTGCCAACACGCTTATGACGAAGCCAATAGAAAATGTAAAAAGTTCTGCACAGTGTTTAGACTATGGCTTGGAATGACGTATCATCTTATTGATGTGGTGCACACTTTTCTCTTTCACTTATGTGTCATCTGTCATAACATTTTGGTTCCTTTATTATAATCAACTTAATCATCAAAGTTTCGGGTGTCAAAATTTTTGTAGCGACACTTTGTTGCTAACAATAATTGAGATGATGCTTTCCTTTTGCATCGATTTCATTATAAGAAACTTTATTGCAATATTGATATCATAGTTATAATTTCATTATTATTATTATTATATTTTATTATATACCTGAACACATGAATTCCTGCAGAGAGTGCTACCGGAATTACACACATGTTAAAAAAAAAATCATGAAATTTGCTCTGTAATGCTTATTGATACAGCTAAAATGATTGTTTTTTCTAAGCGATATTAATTAAAATAAAAATACAACAAACACTGAAAATAACAAATTGCCCTGACCATTGAGTATATGTCGCTGCTATTCTAAGATTTTAGAAGACTTTCAATAAACAAAGAAAAAAGTAAAATCTAGCTTTTTCTTTATACGCCTGGATTTACTGAATATATTTTAATTATTTTTAAACAGATACATTATTAGTTAAGGTAATTTAATTAGTCAAGTAGAACTTACGTGACCAAGCAGTTGAACTAGCAAGCAGTAGCATTAGTATTAGCGAATTCGTTTTTTCCATGCTTAAACTTTGAAGAAATAATACTTGCCCAGAGGAAAGGGCTTTTTGTAAGCAATTTTTGCTTACAAAAAGAGCAAGACATTTTGCCGAAGAAAGCAAAATATCGCAACGTATCGTCCTCCGGAAATAGCATTTTCGAAGGGACAGTAGAATTTTTATACTGAAATGTCGTATGTTTATTGTAAAGAAGAAGCAATGAATTGTATAAAATTCCTTTTTTACACGGTTTTCTCTTTCAATTTTGTTTTGCTTTTTGAGATAAAAATGTGAAAACAAAAAAGTTTAATATTTTAAAAAGAATTGATCGTGCCATCTTTATCTATCGAATCGTACTTTCAATCTTCTTTATTCCATTTTCCTGTTTTTTCTTTTTTCTTGTTGAAAAATTTAGATCTGATTCATAGCAAAAATGTAACTGAATAATATCCGAATAGGATTTTTCTTCTTTTTAGCACGTTTTTTTTTCAGCAATTATATGAAAATAACTTGTACATTTCGATACTATCTATGTATAGTATAGCGACTATTCTCATGAATATTAAAGAAACGGACAGGTCATTGAAAATTATTACAGAGATTTTTTATATTACAGATATTTCCAAGTTTTCGTTTTACTATCCTTTATGTTTACATTTCTTTGAATAGCAAATGCAAAATATTGCATTCTTTTAAAAATTAAATTGCCTGTAATTAAATATTCAATGTTTAATTGATTAACAGATATCTAAATTGCTATAATCTTCAAGAAGTTTAGAATCTATACACTATTAATTTTGATAAAGGTGCAAAAGCACTTTCTGAAAGATATATATGTTGTCGCTAGTGCTCCACTCTCTACGATCCTTATACTAAGTCAAATTGCTTCCAGGAAAATTGACTTTTCAAGGCTAATAAGCCAGTGAGACCAATGACAGCAGAGGAATGTAAAAGCTTATACAAACATACATCTATCTAGATTCATCCCTAAAAGGCACAACAAGCTTCTATTCAAATAAATGGTAGTAGTTCCGTATATGTTGTATGTGATGTCTTTGGATATTCGTGCCCAACAATTTAGAAGCTTTTTTCAAGTGATTACTTCATAACACAACACCAGTATCTTCTTCTGATAATGATACTGTTATTATTCATGAAAATTACATCTACACTTAACAACAACCCTTCATTTTATTGTTCAGATCTTTTCCCAAATTCAGAAGTTATTCCACGATACTCTAATTAAAATATCGGTAGTAATTCGCTATTGTCTTATATTTGATATACGTAATGAAAAATATTTTATTGATCAAGCTGAATGGATAATAAATTTATATATTGTTACCAATATCAGTTCAATATCTTTTAGCTGTCACTGTTAGTAAGTTCTCTTCTTTTAGCTCTCACTGCTAGTAAGATCTTTATCACGCAATAGATTGTGCTTTTTTTTTCTTCTGTTAAATTATCTAATACTTATTGAATAAATAAATGATATGCTTAAATATCTTTCAAACTTTCATTCATCTGTCTGTTATGTGATTTGCACGATAAGAAAACTGTTAAATTTTCTTGCTATATCGTCATTTCTCAATCACACTGACTGCTTTAATATTATGATTGATTATTAAAGTTATTAAATTAGTGCAGTCGTGAATTTTCAACAGAACTTATGGAAGTTTTTTTTAAAGCATTAGATAGATAGAACTTGGAATTGGATGGTGATGTAATTAATGCTTATACATTCCCTCCCTCTGCAATTTTACTTTCTATTTTCCTTTTCATTTCATATTTTCCTCATTTATATTGAACGTTTCTAAAATATATGGAGAGTAAGATTTTATTTGGAGCAATGAAACAACAAATACTACTTCCAACTATCTTTCTTTGCATGCAAATATTTACTAGTGCATGTGCATGTATTGCTGAAAATTTTATTATTAAAAACTATTTTCCATCTTATACCCAATGGATTTCAAATCATTTATCCGAAAATTGTTATTCTCTTTCTCGCTCCTTTTTTCCTTAATTCCGTAATGTTCATTGGAATTGTAAAACTTTTTCCTTTTTTGTTTTTCAATATTTTCTAAAAATCTACATTTAAATCATTTCAAGATTTATGAGCTAATTTTAGCTTAATATAAGTAAGTGTAGTAGAATTGATCAAATGACCCTAAATTTCTTCCAATATCATTTGACATATTCCTAACTCAGAATGCAATTACCATTTTTGAAATGATGTCACAAGTGATCGTGTATCAAATCGTCAACATATTTAATGTTTCCATCGATCACGTTCGTAGATATTTGATAATTGAAGAAGAGTTAATTAAGTACTACTTCTAGTAATTCATGCATGCTTAATTATTGCTTTTTCCCTTTATTGTAATATCAAAGTTCAGCAAGATTATACTTTTAGTATAATGCTATGAGAGTATATTTATTGTGATATTATCTTGAAATAATTTCAATGTTTATGCATATGAAACATGCTCGAAGAAGTGCATTTCTGGACGATGTTGGCTTCTCACAACGATCAGCAACTGCTTACGCACGTCAAACACTTTCAAAACGTGTTTCACAAGTGAGCTTGCTTTTTATTAAGCTTTAAAATTTTTATATCAAGTTTTCTTGCGGATCATTTGTTGATTATTTATAATATGTACTCTTTGTGTAGAATTTATTATCATGAAAGTGGATTGTTTTCTCGACAAGTTTAGTAGTATAAATTCCGTTATGGTACGGCTTATTTACAACTACGGCTTCTTTGGAATCTTTCTATTATGTCGAAATGAAATATGCAGGTGAGATTCTATAGTGATAGTAATGGCAAATTAATTAACAATTGTTCAGGTTTTGATCGCAGCACGATGTACAGATCCATTGTTATGGACTTTTACTTCATTTCTTGGTCTTTTTGTCAGTGCTCTACAATCAATACCATTGGCAACAAATGGATGGGTTTATGTTACTGAACCGCAACCATACAATAAAACAAATGAAAACGGAGATCTAATGGTGAATATATCATTGTTAGGAAGTTTTAGACTGATACCAAACATATATTGCTTGAAACTTTATTTTTATTAACGTCTCATTCTATTCTTCATTTTTATCAAAATACTTTGTGTGTTACAACCATTCACGTTTCATTCAAAATATAGTTTCAGGAGATTAGTAATGTGGTACTATTTTCAGGACACTATATTTCTTTACAATGCAGGTTATTTTGTGATGTGTCGCGAGCATATAGGAGTGGCTGCTGAAGATATTCGATCATACTTATCAAGTAGGATCGAATTTCTTACCTTTTGTTTAAAATTGGAAAAAGTCATTCCGATTGCTTTTCTACAGCATTGGTAATCCAGTATGCTCATATTTTTATCATATCCTATATCAGGAGTGTTTCGCTGCATATTTCAATATATAAATTGTTTGGCTGTATCATTTCTTCAGCTTTATACATTTCACAATATCTGACAGCAAGAAAAGATGTCACTTAAGAATTATATTTATTTTCAAACAATCCATTTTGAGTTTCGTATAGCATTCAATTTCGCTGGAAATTCCTGAACCTGAACCTTCATGTTTCCTTACAATTGATAACTTGACAATTATCATAACTTAATATCGGCCCATTATCTGCATTGTCAAAGGTAAATTTTCAAATGATATGGTACTTTTACTATTTGTTGGCTTTTGTTTGGTTATTTTTAGGTGAAGAAGCGGAATACCAGTGTTACTGGAATCCAATCCTTACTGGTAAAGATCTAACAGAATTTAGTTCTGCAACTCTCGCTATTGAAGGTGCACTACGACCCATTTTTAGTTAGCCAATTTTGGCTCATATAGCACATTCCAACCAATATAATATTTATATCCTCCACATCTATTTAATATCGTCATTTTTAGGAAGAAATATTTGTGTAGAATAGTTTCAGGACGTCTTGCGCTGCCTACCTCAATGCATATTATTGGCGTCACCATCTGTTACATAGCATTTTATTTCGGTCTCATTGGTCACAAAAAACGTAACTCAAAAACACTTCTTGCAGCAATAATGTACATTTTTGGAGGTAAATTATATTATTATCTTTCAATAAAATAAATCACTTTTAATTTATGCCATAATTTTAAGTTAAAACTAAAATATTTTCAGGCCTTGTCGTGCTGGTTGGTGTCCTACAGTTCGTTTGCGTTGTTGACGATGAATTAGCGCCACGAATGAAACCGAATGCAGCTGGCGAACCATCTAAATTTAGTTTTGTATACGGTAACTTATTTTTTTCTTTTTTGTTTACTTTTTGCGCACATTTTATTTGAGTATCTATTATAGATTGAGCAGGTAGAAATGGTATGGATAGTGTTGTAGTGTGTGCATATTTATGCATACATTTTTGACAGGTTTTGTACTTATATTTAATAAAAGGTAACAAAAAACTGAAAAGCTTCAATTGTTCATCCTATTATTATTGCAGGGTTTTCATTCTTCTTTGCTTCATTATCCTTTCTACCACTGCAAATGTGTGCTTGTTGTCATGCATTTCTTTATTTCCGACGTTTTCCAACTGTACTTGACAAAATAAAAATTATACCAGGTCTTGAAGCACAATGTTAGTTTTCCTTGGTATCTTTAACAGAACTTATGAATGGTTACTAATTACAATTTAATTTAGTTAAAAGGATAGGTCAGATTCAATTGTGTGAATTTATACGAAATAATTTTATTGTTTTGCTCATTCACACAAATAACTTACGAAGAGTGTGATATTTTTAATTTTCGAGCTAAGCAAATAATTATTTAAATATTTGTTAGCAATTGGATAATTAATTAATTAATTGTTACGCGTGTTGCAGTGAGACGCATTCAAGTGGTAATGGCGCTTGATTCACCACCTCCTGAAACATTTAAGAAAGGATCCGTTTGCGCCGTTGTGTATCCTAATCAGCCAAGTAGTCGAAAATCAACACGTTATAGTCTTAATTCACCGCTTCTGATTCATTCACCAATTGTACTGCCTCCATCATTTCATGAGTCATTATCAGCAACAACCGTGCATAATTCACTGAATCATTAATGATTATAAAGTGCATAATCCAGCATTTCATCAGTTTCCTTCAAACTTTAACAAATCCTTGAAAGTGCGTTTTAAATTACTGTGTAGAAAATTTTTATAACTAAACCATTAGAAACTATTTGCGTAATAAATGGCATATTGGGCTGCATTTCTGCGGGAGCAAAGTTACTGCAACAAAATATGACTTGAACTGATAGAAATGAGTAAGGTAAAGTAAGACGGGTGTATGAAGAAAAGCAGACGTAAGTGCAAAATATTTAAGTTATATAAAATGATATATTTATGAAATAAATTTTTGAAATCAGTATTTGATATTTGATATAAAAAATTTCATCATCACAATCTTTTGTAGCTAAATTTTAAAAAGAGTTTGATAATGAGATAATCTGAATCCTATTTGGCATCTTAGATTAGTTCTTGTCGAAATTATTTCTGATTGATTTTGATTACTCAGAATTGTTTATGCTGTCATTGTTATGCTGATTTTTGAAAATTATAATTTTTGCAAGGAAATTATCACTTGCAAAGAATTATCACAACGAAATTGTTAGATTCAATTTATCAAAGTAAATTTACAAAAGTATTTTGTTTCCATCATTTAAGTCATTTTTTTTCCAAAATTTCATTCTTTGTTCATTTTTTAGTTTCATTGAAATATTCCGTAGATATATTTGTAAGATATTCTTTTTTTGCTGAACAATTTATTTCGTGATTTCAATTTAATATCATAAATAATAATGGATGGATGGAAAGTTAAGATGAATGAGAAAGAATGGAAGAAAAATAGCCGTCGCAATATATATATCATTGTAGCAGTCAGTCAGTTATCGTTCGTAATACATTACGCAGTATCGCGCAGCTGATTTACTTATTGTTTTTTGTATAAATGATTGGATAGATGTCGAGTTTTCTTTATACTTCGTCATTAGTATTATAAGTGAAGTTATTGTGATGCTATTCATTTTGCCTTTTTGTCCTAAAAAATCTTTTAGGACTTATTAGATAGAATGAAATGAGATTATGATGCATAAATGAATTGTTATCTCAACAACAGCATTTATCTTAATAACCGATATCTGTGGATAAATGAGTAAGAAGGCTCTTGTCATATATCGACCCATTCATTCATTACATTTATACTTTGGCCGATTACGAAAAATTTTTTCTGTTAGTCTTCAATGGTCAGAGTTAGAATGAGAAAGAAAAGGAAGAAGAAAAGAAAGTAAAGCATCGCTAATCCTTTTTTGACTAGTCTTAGCTTTCTATTCTATTTGATCTGCTCGCATAACTTTTCTTTCTCTCTCTTCCTCTCTCTTTCCCTCTTTCTCTTTTTCTCTCTCAAATTTCAAATTAAAATTAATTATTTTAGATGTTATTTATAATGAAATTATTTCTTGTTTTGTTGTAGGAAATTATAACGAATTTTTGCTCAAATAAATAAACAAATGAAATTCAAAATAAGGTAGACCCCCAAAGAAACATTTCGAGGATGACCTCTTTTGAATGACAGATGAACTGTTGTTGCAATTTGAGCAGCAAAATGAGTGTACATCTATGGTTGTTGGGATGGAGTGTGTTGCTGGGAGGGGGTGCATGCAAACAATACCCATTCATTGTTGACAATTCTATGCAGCTTCCTATCGGGTAAAAGAGGTCAAGTGGTTGATGTGGTGATATTGTATGCATTTACAACACGTTGATTACATTATCCGAATAACAATATCAGAGATACCCATTTACGCTCAATGTAATCAAACTCAATGTTTTCAATTTATTCCACCAACCCTTACAACATTTATGAGGAAAGAAAGCTTAGTGGCCATTAAAAATTCCTATCTTTCGAGTACTTAATTCAATGTTAAAAGTCACTTCTGTCAATAAGGTCATAAAATAATAACATGCTATTTCTATCTGAACTGATATTTCGGGCCATTTTACTTTCTAAATTAATATCTAATTTCATTTGAAGGATAAAATTTTTATATTGAATAGGAAGAAATTAGAATAGAGATAATATAAATTAGTAGAGAAAAAAATTTAAATAAAAAGAAACTGATTAGAACATTATCATTATTATTAAATATATCTTGATAGAAAAGTTTCGGGTTTGATCATGTATCATATCACTTTCATATCATAAAGTGTACTACTGATCGCATAACATTGTGTTAACTTCTATCATTAATTTGGAGTATTTATGACAAATATAACATCGTGCTTAATCATAATCACTCGTATTTTTAAAGTCATTTTTGAATTTTTCCAATCATTTCTTCCTCTTTCCTTTCTCCTCATTATGGCTGTTTATGACCATACTGCTTAGAATAATAATGTCTAACTGATTTCTTTCTATGTCTACTCATAATGCCAATAAGTTTCAATGAATGATAAGCAGTAGCGGTAGTGTAGCAGCAACTGTCGCAGCCTAGTTAACTCTGGATGCGATACATCCTCGCCTTCAAACAATCGACCTTCGAGCCAGGCGCCGATTGGCGGATAACATTCGATTCGTGTGATTAATTGCAAATTATGAGGAGCGGGGATGGAGTGTCATAGATGTACATAGATATATACACATTAATAAAATAGCACTGCCTCATTGCTCTCCTCCTATATACGTAGCGCAATGATCATCGTGTTGCTGGCATGCGGTATAGATTGTGGATGCTTTATTTTAGAGCATTTTGATCGACGAGAATGGTAGAGGTGAAATGAGAGAGAAGATAGGAGGAAAGAAGCAGGTTATCATTATAGCTCATGAGATCTTGAACTAGATGTGTGTATATTTATGGTCATCTCGTGCGGAAATGTCATCATTATCGACAAAAGACCTCATACCTTCCCTCCTATTTTCTCTTTCACTCTTAGCAGACCTCTTTTTGTTCGCCTTTATTGTTATATCAGACCTATCCAAGGGACCATTTTATTACTCGTCTGTTTATTACTGTATCACACCTTTACTATTATTAAATTTAAGTTCACACTCTATTCTTATTACTTATATTTTGCATAATTCAACTTCTCATCCAATTGCAATCATAAATTTCTTGGTTTACTTAAATTTTTATGATTATAATAAAGAAGTGAAGTGAAAATAAATGAATAGCATAAAAAGAGGGACAGATTTTTCTCTCTACTCATTTTCCTACCTTTTTTGTGAAAATGGTAATTGTGAAAAGAAAGAGTAGTGAGCCGTGGCAATGGCAGTTATTTACTGCTTAGTAGTCGTTGTTGAAACAAGTTTTAGTGTTGCAGTTTTCACCAGTCTAGTTGCATAGTTAAATTTTATGATCCATTTAATCTGCCGTAACTTCTTTAAAATTACTAACAAAAGTGATCATATAATGTTTTGCATGTCTTCATGGAAGCTAAAAATTTCTTCTTGTCGATGCGTTCGTTCATTTTCAACTTCAGATAAATGTTAACTTTTATCAGCATGTTTGATTTCTGCAAGCATAGTATATATATATAATTGTAGAAATAGATGAAATGTTAATAATACTAAAATATTGATGCTGTTTTGAGCAATGGAAAGAATAGTTTGTCTTGTCGATGTAACGATTTGATATTCATTAGATTTTCGTATATATTTTTATTATATTTACAGTAACAGACTGGATACTGTAACACACAAGATCAATAATATTGCAAACTGTTTAATTATATTTCTCTATCTTTAATTTTCTTCATAAGTTTCAAATCCAATTGCTCTTTGAACCTTAGCTTAACATCGACAAAAGCTGATATCAGTCATAGAGAAGGTAGGAGGAGAAACAGACAGCCATCATCTGTTTAATGAAAAATGAATAAATGAACAGGACATATAAAGCTGTTCAGCAAAACTTCTACGATTATGGACGGATACTTGAAATAGAACAGTAAAATTTTTAAAAGAACTATGTGATGGATTTTGCCCATAAGTATCATTGATAAAAGTGCATTTTTAAAAACTCATTGCCGTCATATAATTTTAAAAGTGAATTGAAAGTATTCCGTTGAAGCCATACCTTAGCATAAACAATAAGCCTTGTGCATAGAGAACTCATTAAGGCATTCAGAAGTTGCTTTTTCTTTATTGGGTTGCAAAATTTTTTTTTTTCAATTACTTTTGTATTACCTGTTCGTGGGCTAATTGCAAGTTAATTTTCGAAAAATTTACTTTTGATATAACATATATAATGTTTATGGTGGATGTTAAAGCTGTTAGCACAGCATTCTTACCACCCGCATATTTCATGTCACATACATATTTCAGGATAACTTTTCTCTCTTTAAAAAAATTGCTCAAATTAGGAATAAGTTGACATTCATTTATCATAAGCTTTTTTTTTTTAAACTCACTTTTTGCTGATTTGCTTATTCTCACAAAATAGTTATATTTTTACAACTATCAATCCTTATATCGTTTGTGTGCATAAGTGATCATTTGTTTAATGTCCATCTTAATTGTATATGTATATCGAACAGATTTGATTTCTGAGTGCCCAAGAGGAGTCATACCCCCCCCTCTCCCCCGTCCAACCCGATATTACTTCTTTTAAATTTATATTTGAGGATATTGTTTATTTATTTCCTCGTTCATCTGTAAGTCTTGTCTAAATGTTTGGTGAAAAATTAATTTGTCATAATATGTTACATTTATTTTTCTCAGTTTAATGTCTGTCTTACTTATATTTTTCAAGAAATGTTTTGTAATGAATTTTTCTAGACATCTTCGCATCTTTTACCTTTTTTTCTTTCTATGAAAAATGATGTATGGTAGAAATGATACCTTAAAACTGATTTCTAATTTATTTCTTTATAATTCATTTACCTTAAATAGCTTTTGTCAACTATTTAGTATTCATGTAGAAGAGAAAAAAAATAAAAATAATATCTCATCAATTATTTGTAAAGTAATCAATAAGACATTTTTACATTTCTTGCAAACTTCGTCACTGGCAATATTATTGCTAAACTGGAATAAAAATCATGACAAGTAGACAAGTAGCCAAATATAATTTTTCATACAACAAAAAAAAAGCAAAGATTGTAGAAGAGGGAGTGAGAGAGGATGAAGTAATTGTGTCCGAGAAACGATCGTCTTCAGTGAGATGAGGCATGAGGGCTAACATTGATCCTTTCATATGGTTATCCCTCTCCGTCATGCGCTGTGTAGGAGGAAATCAATGCTTCAATAGCATTTCAACCCATGTAAGATATTGCATGAGATTTGACCTCTTCAAATGGTTTCTTTCAGTGTAAGTTCGTCTATTTCAGTGGCTCATTTAATCCAAGCTTATGCTTCCATTGACTATTAACAGCAGATAAATTGATAGTCAAGATCGGTGAGATCTGTTCCAGCTGGGATGAATAATTCGATGACCGTTATAGCAAAATCCAAAGCCATCTGTTAGTTCCTTCGCAGCATTGCTAATTGATTTGCCTTCGTTGGTTTAAAGAATGTTACGTACGATATTAGGTTCTTTATTCAGCAATTGTTTAGATGATCATTGTTCCTTTCTTAAATTTACTGACCGTTTTTCTTCATTAGCTACAACGAGAAAGAGAAATAGCGATTGATTGGATGCAACTTCCTTTTATTGCTGTCAGATTTGTTTATCCTTACATTTATTTTTTTTATTGCAATTTTTGCGCGTCATTGTTTATTTGAAAGTTAGCATCAAAAATTAGGACAAACGAGGAATATAACATGATTATAACATGATTATATGGGTTGGATCAATGAACCTCTAGACTGCAGCGGAAATTACCCATTCGCATAACACCAAATTTTTTGGTAAGAGGAGAAAGGCTTATCCTGTGGATAACCTTGTGGGTCAAAGGTCATTGTTGGTCAGTGACCCTTAATGGTTGAGTTACCTATGTCTGTACTCGCAGAAACACACACACACACATACACACACAAAGAGAACGGAATAGTATAGACAGTGGTTGTGTGGGTGTTACAGTTCTCATTTGCGGAGGGATGAATGGGCGGTGCTGAATGCTAAATGGACGAGTGCTGAACTGATGATCAGGCGGTCATAGGTTCAGGATTGACAGAGGTCACTCGAAGGTGATGTGGTCTGACTTACGGCTGTGTCCACGAGAGGTGGCACGTTTGTCATGAGCAACTTTGCCTTCGTTGAGGGTAATTGGCATCAACTTGGCTCTGCTGCTCAAGATGACAGTGTCCCCTTCAATTTCCCAATTTCCTTCTATCTTCACTAATTTATTCTACGTGTGTGTGTTTCGATCTCAGCCTTTACAGATCTAGATGATCTGTATCGATGATCTTCGACCCATGGCTTTCCACAGAATGTATCATCCATCGGATGATTTACGACATAAGGCTTTTAGTGCTTATTTGTTGCATCAGCAAATTTTCATTGATCTAGTTTTTCTGTACGCTGCACTCGCCTCGTCTTTTACCATCGAAACCTTTCAGTAAGAACATTTTTCAATAAAAACTCCCAAGTGAGGTCTTTCTAGTGTCGTTTGTATTTAAATTTTTCATTCAAGTGAATAAATTACCAATCAACAATCACGCATATACACACACACACACATCTTTTGCGTTTACCTGTTAAAAGATAAAATTATGGGATAGGTGGAGGATAGATGTGAAAGTTCAAAGATGCAAAATTTCCTTTCCTTGTGAAGCATCTGTCTCATGCAACCGCTTTACAGGTTCAGTGGCGGAGAATAATAGACCGACAAAAACGGGTACGCTTGCTCGATGATGATGTAAACGCTGTGGTCATTAGTTCCCTTGCAAATGTTTATCGAACAGCTCAACAATAAGTAAATTTTGATTAATAGACTCACAAAATCATAACAAATCTGCAAATCAGATGAGCTTGTAAGTTCGAGTTGCCTATTCAGCGGAAAGAAAGAGTTTACTTATGAAATCCTGCAGGAGTCTGGTAACTTGCAAGATTTCAGCCTATAAGTTCTTCTGGCGAATGTTCTAATAATTACACGGTCAAAATTTTAAGCGATAGCTTTCTACATAAGGCGTAATTATTGGCATAGTTATTGATGAGAGAATTAGATTCACTGCCATACATTAATAAAAAGAAAACTCTTCTGCGAAGAGTTTTCTTTTTGTTTTTACGATTCGACCATCTGGGAAAGATAGTCGAACATACTCCTCCTAAGAGTACATTCGATTACACCTAAACTTTAGGGTTAGAATGATGATGGATCATTTTCATTTAATAGAAAGATTGGGATAAATAGAAGCAATTCAAATTATATGAAGGATATGAAGAACTAGGAGAGTGAAATTTAAAGCTGATGTGATACAAATAAAAAACACTGAATGTAACCACCAGCACTTTTATAAAGTGGTAGACAATAGAACACAATACTGAAATACTCACTTACATTATGCGGTCCTCAGAACAGAACAATCATTAGATGGATGTCCAGGAAATTTAGATATCCGATTTTTTCTTTGTTCACGAAATAAATCACGTACAAATTCACCCTTTAGAGCTTTTAAACATTTACGATACGTCGGCAGCGAACGGTAGCGCATCATTTCGAGTGAGGGAAGATGTGGCTGGTGGACAACGAAGGCATCCGGTAATATAGTAAATTCGTAACTGAATTAAATAATTAATAATTTGATAAGGAGAATGAACAAACATAAAGGTACGAAAAAAAAAGAAATTTGTGAATGTTAAAAAATATATTAGAAGATGTATCAAAGACAAGGTTAAATGAAACAGATAAAAAATAAACATACCCGGCAGCATTGAGTGACATCACATGGGATACTTTATTCCAGCCGAAACCAACAAATCGTTGATCATAAGGTGGTAATCCATTACGCTTCACCACAACATATGGCTCATAATTATTCCTCCACGAAACCTACAAATATTGTAACAAAGGTAATGAAGCATTAAGAGACTTCGAAACTTTGTGAAGTTTCAAATGATTCAGTTCCTGCTAAGATACCGAGTATTCTTGATCAGCATGTCTCCAATGATCGTAGTCGGTAGCCGCATGACCCTGAGTCCATAAATTTCGCCTGAAAACCTGTATGCGTCGCGCATCTAGCTCTATTAATAATTCATTCTTTGTAAGAGGGACCACTGGAACTTGACTACCAATATATTCAAAAGCTGGCACAACAAACGCTCTTTTGTTTGTTAAGTTAGTTATTACCAACTTTTTGCACAACATTGTGTACAGTCCTGAAATATGGCACAAAAGTGCAAATTACCAAAGAAAGGTCTAAAAAATTCCATGAAAGATAAAAGAGTCGCTGAAAACAACTCCAATACAATAAAATATAATGCATGTAGTAGCAGCACTGACTAATAAGAATGAAAAAGTATAGAATACGAGAATTTTTCCAGTTATACTACTAAGTCCCCTTATCGAATCTTCGACAGATTATCCATACAAGCAAACGCTCCTAAACAGCTGTATTTCGGGATTTCAATTCAAAAAATATAATTACACAATTCAAAGCTGGACAATTTTAATATTATAATATTAAAACTATCCAGCTATATTTAATTATTTAAAGGAAAAATCACCTGATCCTGGTGTGAAATCGACGTCGGCCAAAAAAACAAATGATGCATCGTTGCTGTTATTTAGTGCAACATTTCGAAGATAATTTATGGGATAGTATGTCTGTAAGTGAAATAGAAACAAAAATGAATTATAAAGTTAAGAAACTGAGATATATGTTGTGTTCAGAATCTAAAAAAAATATAAATAAAACTAACGCCCTCTTTATAAACAGCATGTAATGCGATATTAGTTCGATTACCAAGAGTATCATCAAAGAATTGAATTAACAACGAAAGTTCAGAATCAGTAACATAAACAGCAGCCGATATAGGTCCAATCCAATATTGCAATAGAGCATTAAAATGCATCAAACGATCCATGCTGAACTGTGTTGTCAAAACAACATTCTTTGGAGTAGCCTGAATTTTTTCAGTTGTTTCTTTTTCCTGTTACCAAAACGGTACCAGTATTGGACTTATAAGCAATAATTCCAAAACGCTATGTATTACTGAAATTAACTCAATAATGATAGACTTGGGATAGTTATACATAATATTGGATCCGATCTAAGTAATAGGAGGGCGCGTGATACAAGAAAATGTATTATCATTGTTATCACTCTCAATGAAATCTTGGAAAACACATTCATGCATAATTACATTACATTCATGCACTGTAAAACGATTATCACAATAAAGCCATCATTTTCGAGAATGTTTGAACTGATCTCATATCATCACCTTTCATTCAGATATTTCCAAGTGATTGCATAATATTATAATTATGCTGCATAATTTACAAGCAGTTGTTGAGTGAATCTAAAGGTACAGAGACTTACAGTGAAATTGTATGGACGTACGTACAATAACGTTCGATATGTGATCCATCGAGCATGTCGTAGTTCGTTGCATCCATCATCGTTGTCATCATATTCAGATACTTTGTCGAGTTTTGAATATGCCTGTTCCTAGAGAGATTATTAATTTCCATTACATTTTTTCATTTAGAAAATTTGCAATGTATCTCTATTAGCTTAAAATACTTGGTAATTAGTATTAATTTAGATCTAGTAATAATCCTGGTAATAAATACATTCAGTGCAGTTATCTGTGAGGCTATAATTTGCATCCGATAAAATTTTTCTTATTTGCAGTGAATATCAGTTCTTAATGTATTAGATACATAACTGCTTATGTGCATTCGTTAGTTAATTCAAAACTTATTTCCTAGTCTTTTATAAAAAAGAAATGAATCGGAAAACTAACAGAACCAGAATAACAACGGATTATGCTAGATCGAAATATATTGCCATTCATATCCCTCACATCGTCGTAATATCGACGTAAAAATATTGCATAACGATTAATTGTTCGCGTTTTAAGAGGTGAATTCCAGTGAGCCAACTGAAAATCAAATGTTTATTGTTTTGTTATACTTAAAATCTAGTTAGAATAACAAGTAATAATCATATTTACCTTCAAATGAGGAATTTCCACAGGGCATAAGTCCTGTTGTGACTGGAATCCCAACTGGAAGTTCCACTCACAAGGAAGTTCTTGTATAATCCACTGATGATCGTTGATAACTGCATTAATTATATCCTAAACACAGTAGATGAACCTCCAAAAATCTGCTTCCTTAAATCATGTTATGAAGTGAAGGTATCAAAGGTTAAAGCAGTAGTTAGTTATATGAAGTTCAGTTCTATTTCCGGGAAACAGCAAGCACTGATAGTTGATGTTCAGAGAAAAATGATTCCAAAGTTAGTGACTCAAAATGATGGATTACTAGTGAAAAAAGACAATTCAAAAAAGGAACGCTGTTGTTTGTTATGTTTGCAATTAGGATTATTTGGTACAAGGAATATTAAGAAGAAGTAAGAAGTGATTCGGCATGCCTGATCTCCTAATTCAGTTGAACCATATTTTTCAATATTTTTTGAAGCAGTTTCTTCCCAAATTTGTGACCAGCTTATGTTCCTTAGCTTTGCTAAATCGAGCAACATCACTCCACTATTAAATCCACGTCCCTGTAATCTTTTTTCTATTTGAAGATGTCCCTATAAATCTTAAAAACTTTTTTAAACATCCAAAATTTAAGTATTCTAAAGCCATAAGTTTACTATTTTTAATTTTTTATTTACGAATAAATAATTTTTTCTTCTGCTAACGGTGGTATTAAAACGTACCCATGCTGGCCAAATAATTCTTTGGGATGTATTTGTATTAAATAAGTACCAATCAGATAAATTTTCAACTAAGCCAATAGCTTGTAAATTCGTCATCTTGAAAAAAAATGACCATAGCTGGGCAATGTCGTCCATTATCAATGCATCTGTATCAAGTACGATTACCTAAAAAATGTAGAATTTTTTTCGTTTTAACCACCAAGATGATAAGAATTGCTCGATTGCATAGTGCAACGTAGCCCGCATTAAATTTTATTGAGTAATGAAATAATAACTAGGCAGTGATCTTAGGATTCATGCGGCTGACAAACTTTTCTGCTGAATCCACTAATTGATAATAAATGCTGGTAAAGATATCGCCTGATTTTGTTAGTAAGCGATAGTATTTTTTCTCTCTTGTAACAATCTTTTAGAGGCAAATATTCCAACTTATTTTGATACTATTTGACTGCTTTCATTATCATACAGCAATCTATACATATAGAGTTTTGCAAGAGTCAGCTTTAAAAGTGTTTTAACAGAATGTACAATGCGTTCCCTGATAACCAATAGTGTTAGGTTAAAACGACACCTTATCAATATCAACAGGCAAAATATCGTTTAAAATAAGCTTCAGAAAGCTGTATCTGCCTGAATAATGTCGATTCGGAATCCACGAGATGCGATCCAAATATTGTGAAGCGTTATAAAACACCACTTTTACTACAATATAAAGAATTGAGGAAAATAATGAATTACAGTTTCTCAATGGACACCAAGAAAAAATTTAAGATAGAGAGCCAACAAATTACCAGCTGGCAATCGCCATGTACTGAATAGCAATGATATAATTCTTATAGTTATATCATCCACAAGGAAATGCAAAACGAGGGCCTGTTGGCGATAACGGAGGATACTTTTAATAAATGTCGATAAAGGATAGTTCAACCGAACGCCGCCACATACCACCAATGCCAAATGTAACACCTAAATTAGCCAATTAGCCTCTTAAATTGATTCGTTTTAAAACATGAAGTAATTGCAACATTTCAAAATCCAACTTGGCAGTGTTGCGAGCGATATTCATCTCCATTTCCACTTTTCTTGCCATTTGTTAACGCCGCATTTTGCTCGAACAAATTAATGTTTCTTTTGTATATGCGCAAATGATACGATACTATAACAATTCCATCAATTTGAAAAACTTTTTAAAAATGATTCTTTTGAAATGTATCTATTGGTTAACCAGTCAATCTGTTTAAAAAGAGAAACTTGAGCAGTAAACCAACCTTCAGTAAAAGTCGATAAATAAAGGACAACAACCACGGCTAGTACAGAAACCCATATACAATAAGTATTCATACGCCTTCTCCTTTTCTTCATATCTTCCTGAAAATGAAATATGACAACAAGCTAACAATGATTTATCGTAATATCTTTAAAAATTTCCATTGGAACGTAAAAATATTCGTGAATTTTAGTAGATCAGCTTGTCGAGTGAAGAAAAGGAGAAAAGTTACAATGACATCTCAAATCGGTTTAAGTTAATTAAAATTGCAATTAGTAATTTAATTTGGAATGGCATTGAATTCGATTAGCTTAACTAAAACTACCATTATATTTTCATGATATAAAATCACAGAAAAGGCACTAAATTCAATGAAATGAATAAATTTATGTATTGATGTTTGGATTTTTCTAGTTTGCACAATAATTTAAAAACAATTCAAACGTCGTAATAATTGTTATCACAACATAGCTATCTACAAAAGAAGCTTATGTCGACGTTATATATTATTCAGACCACTAGTTAGATTATCGCTGATATCTGATTTCCATGCGAAATGTATTAATAATGCTTTCTTCGTTTCCTCAATGCTTTTCGCAATGATTCTCATTATAACTTCCGACATTACTATAACTGATATAAGAAATTCTAAAGTCTTTTTTCCATACTCTAAATAACATACCTGTCCACACATAAAGGCTATCCTTGAATGGAACCTTCCGTTACCTATAGTTATGAATAAACGGAATAATAATATTATCAGAACATATGATTAAAGCAGTAATCTATAGTTTAGTTAGTCATTGTTCCTTTCTTCCAAAATTCTGCATGAAATAGAAGTATTACATGATGTACACTAATCGTTACCACTTCCATTATATATATTTATATTAGAGTTCAGTTAAAGAGCGAATAGAATCCATATTTGTAATTCATATCAAATTTTTAGTTTTTTCACCGGGTTCATCAAAACACTGACTTGCTAAATTATCCTCTATTAATTAAACGTTAACAAGTTTGTTTAGTTATACAGTATGAAATGAATAATGTGATTTAACAAATGGTAGCAAGACAATAATGATGTTTGATTTACGGAATAAAACGTAAAGTGTAAAAATGAAGTCGATCATATGAATAGTAATCAGAACTGTGCAATTTGAAAGATCACTTGATCTTCCACATTATGTGACTATTGAAATTAGCAATTTTCATGATCTGCTTAGCCGTAATGGTATTTGTTGTAGTTAAGGACATGAAGTCCAGTAAAAAATGCAGCAAAAAATAGCATTTAGGGAAAACTTAAATATCACTAGTAGAGCGGATAAATAAATACATTGACCATCGAATCATAATTATTGATAATGACCTAACTTTAATTATTATTATTTACATGATGGACTATTCCCCCTTGTCCTTCCCTTTATGCTTTAATTTAGTATTCCACAAATAAGCAAACAGTATATTATATTCTTGGGAATTTGCTTTTGTAATGCAAGCTTAGTAATGCAGTATTGTAATGATAGAATGACAGGAAGAGATTGATTCATTTTTTTGTTAATGAAAAGCTTTCGGAATGCTGCCAGGTAAATAATGATGTTATGAATAATTGCTTACCGATAGCAACCTATGCATGGAAATTTGACAATGATGTACTTTTCCCATTTATCAAGTGAAACTGAAAACTCTTTCAGTGATTATTTGGCTGATATTGTGACTTTTGTCTTGAGAGGTCGAAGATACAACTGCGATATGTAAACTTAAAAGCATTTTCTTTTTACAACAAAACAACTACTTCCAAGAATAGTGTTGGGATGAGTCATTTAGAGTTTCAGTGTTTCTTTCAATTTAGCAACAATTTTTGACTGATAAATTCTATGATTTATTATATCTATCAACACATTCCCTTCCTAATCTTTCTGGGTTTTTCAAATAAGTACTATTCCTCTGATAAATTCATCAATTTATTGATTTTTTCTTATTTCAAAAAATTTCATCAATGAAAAAGCTCAAATCATGCCATTGAAAACTACGTGGTCGAATGCCGAAAAAAAGACGCAGATAATATAATGTATGCCTAATGTGGCATAAATATGCCTCAGTATGTTACCGGAAAAGCTGCCTACTATAAGAAAATGAAAATACAGCAAAAACTGCCATACATGAGAAGCAATATGTTTTCTTCTTGGTTACTATTGAATCGTGTCCTCAATTTACATAAATCCAAACATTAGGTTGGATAGAAAGGACGTGACAAATTTTAGTATGGTACTATCCACATTCCATAATCAGACTAAAATTCTATTGAATTAAAAGCTTTAATTAGTTTCAAAAAATGCAGTATTGTGGATCAGAATCGGTAACAGTGGAAGGGCCTAAAGCAACAGTTTTATTACTCCTCGTGGTGCACTCAAAAATTCAACAAACCTTCTAGTCTCCTCACTATTTATAATATTTAGAAAACATTCTGCATAAATAGTACCACTTTGAGCAATGGCTTAAATATGAAAACTCCCTCATTGACAACTGTTAATATATTTCACTACGAATTGCACTTTTCTGATGCCCAGTACGACCCGTTCGTAGAACCGTTATAGCAACTGAATGCATTATGTATATATTCTGAAACAGTGAAGGGATATTTCATTGTAACATGAAAAGATTAATGAAAGCAAAAGTATTATTCACAGATTTACGTGGGAAAGCGTGGAGTTGAATACACAAATTCTTTCATGTGACCGATTTCCCACTCAGTAAACATAAATTTCATACGAGTTTTATTTGTCAGGAAGTTGTGATGAATGTGTCAATCATTCGATGTATCATGATGAAATGTTCATTCCGCTAATACCATTTCATCCGGTTGCACAATGCAATGATCCATGGCCTAATATCTGTTCATTGATCACTTTCCGAGTGACCGGTACTGATAAATGCTCCTATAAACATCAACATAGGATGTGTAAATACTGAAAGGAAAAAGAAAGGGAGAAGAAAGAGAAATGAAACATTAAAAACATGCCTTATATTGCTCATCAACTAGCAAAGTAGTGATGCGTGGAGGACGAAAAGCAACAAATAGTGGTGGAAGAAAAGAGAGGAGGAAGCATGATGGGCATGGATGGAACAAGGACACTCCCACAACATTAAATTCATTCAGGGTTTACTGATGACCCACAAATAAAGGGACAGGATGAATCGATCGTCAACGATAATGACTTATGTGGATGGCGCACCGATTTTTTTAATGGTTTTTTTAAAACTTCCTTCTTTTTTTATATGATACTGAATGACCGAACAAATTACCTTTTATTAATATCATTTCATTTTCCTTTTGCTTCCAATTTAGAAATGAATCGCAAAACTGTGGCTTATGAAACAATGCAAATGACCAAATAGAATGTTTTCACATCCTTCATTCTCCAACAGATTTTATCATAAAGTAGCTAAGAGTTCACTTCTTATGTTTATGAGGTAGATGAAAATAGCATCTGATCATACTTTTTCGTAGAAAATTTTCCAAAAATATTAAGAATACTGATTTAACTGATTAACCTGTATGACCATCTATCAAATAAGCAATTCGGTGAAGATCCCGAATATTCTTAAGAGAAGCAAAATTGTCAAAATGCATGTAGAAAAGTGGTATCAGAAATTGTAATACCACAACTGCAATCACACCTCATCTATTCTTTTTTCAAATGTTGCAAATAATTGATGTATGAGACTAAGTTTATGTAAATTGACTTTTTTGTAATCAGAAATTGAAAATGCTATCATTGATAATTAGCGCAAAGCATGGAGTTTGTGTCTCACAAATTGTTATCACTAGACTTTGGTTTTCATTTTATTATCATGTGGATTAAGTTTATGGAAAAGAATAACGACTTGGCATTGATATCAGTTGTTTGAATTCAACTTCTGAAGTATTTCGTTAAAGAAGCTTTAAAAAAAATGAGTGTTATTAATGAGCTTAGGTAGAAGAATAGCGGCAGAATATTAATTTTACTGATTATTCTTCACGGTAGACTTATTTTTTTTTACTGCAGAAGGACATCATTAAATATTGAACAAAATTTAAAGCAAGCTAAGATTTTTAACAAATAGCGAGGCAGAAGGTAATGTCATAACTTGTTTCGAAGTAATCAAACAGGGTATCAATTTGAATCATCAAAAAAGATGATTAATTAAGCAATTTGTATGAATCAAAAATTTGATTTTGACTTTTTTGATTAAGCAATGTGTTTAAATTAAAGATTTGATCGAATATTAAATGTCGCGATTCAGTGATACCAGTATTCCATACAAACTACCAGTTTTTACGTCTTTGTTGCTGCCTTCAGTTAGTTGGTCAAATATACAATCATTCACATCAATCGACGATATAAACAACCGATGATAGTGGACACAAACGGGTAATATTTCATTAGGATAATTGTAAAAACAGCGCTAAAAATTCATGTGTTCACAACAGCAACTTGCCATTGTCGTATTCTATACCTATTGCTGTCTGAATTTGCTGCTCTTCCAAGCAGTGACATTAGATGGATATTACTGTTCGAGTGACATTTGTTATAAGCGTCATATTGCTTGGCATTTCTGACGCTTTTCCAAAAAAATCGTATTATTGGAGTAAGTTTGTAATCATAATTTCCGCACAAGCAGTGATTGAAGTTTTATTACTTAAATATCTTTAGATTTTTTGTATGGATAATTTATATATCTTTTATTATATACGGTAATTACTTTTGCATACAAAAAAAATTGCCTATTATTTATTTTCTTTTTCACTTTTAATAATAGAAATGAACTAGCAAAAAATGTAATACCGCCGTTTTTCTTTAATTTCTACTAATAGTTAGCAATGAAATTGCGCCTATTATTAAAATGAACCGAAAAATGTCTTCTTCAGAATCCTCACATATAAGCTAAAGCAATTGTAAATAAAAAATAAAATGAGATAATTGATTAGAAAATCATTTAGTTATTCCGTCATATCTTTTCCAAAAATACTTGATCGTGATGAAACTTACATATACAAGCAATACTTGATAGGATCGCTTATTGTTATCTTTCCTATTACTGCCTATTACTCATT